TCGCCAGTTTAGATCATGGGTTATGGTCACTCCTAAATATTTAAAACTATTTACATTGTTCAAGAAGTTATTTCCAATGTTATACCTAAAACAAAGTGCACTCTTTTTTTTTAGTTATATGAGTAAATGTGGATTTAGTATAGTTAATTTCCATGTCCCACTTTTCACACCACATTTCAAAGCCTGAAGGCTACGATTGATTTTAATTTGCTCATTCACATTTGTGACTACCGAATAAAGTAAACAATCGTCGGCAAAAAGCTTCATTTCTACGCCTGGCTCTACAATGCTAGCAATATCGTTGATGTACAACAAAAATAATAAGGGTCCCAACACAGATCCTTGTGGGACACCAGAAAACACCTCCAACGAACAAGATATACAATCGTCAACACGCACCACCTGCCTGCGATTGATCAAATAAGGCTCAATCCATTCTAATATTGTAGAGCTAATACCGATTTGTCAAAGTTTGAAGAGTAGTTTATTATGAGAAACCTTATCAAAAGCTTTTGCGAAGTCTATACAAATAACATCTATCTGCCTCTCGTCGTTTATTGCTAACGAAAAATCGTGAATAGTTTCGATTAGCTGCGTAACAGTGGAAAGATTGCTTCGAAACCCGTGTTGATGCGGGTAAAGCAACTGGTTCTCTTCAAGAAAAATAATAATATGTTTTGCTATATTGTGCTCCAGAAGCTTACATGACACAGAGGTAAGAGACACGGGGCGATAATTATTCACGATTGCTTGGACTCCGCCTTTAAAAATAGGTATTACGATTGCACTACGCCAATCTTGTGGTAGTGAGTGAGTTTGCAAAGATTTCTGAAAGATAGCTTCTAGATAAAATGACACCCACTCGGCATATTGTTGCAAAAATGCAGTCGGTATTTCATCAGGCCCACTAGCCTTCTTTACATCCAACTCTAGCAACTGCTGAAATACCCCCACCCGAGTTATTGAAAAATCTTCCATGCAGCACGGGAATGAATTAAATTGTTCACCGTCATAGCTATTACCATTGTCTTTCGAAAAAACAGACTGAAAAAATTCATTGAAGCAGTCCGCTATTTCTTTCCGTTCTGTAACCATCTTGGTTGCGGTTTGAACATGATCGATGCTTACTTTCTTCTCACTAAAAAAACGCCAAAATTTTTCTGGCGATGTTTTCAGGAAGTTGCCAAGTCTCCGATTAAAGAACTGTTGCCTAGATTCATTTAATGCGGTTTTCAAATTACGACGGACTTGAGATATCTGGTCTTTACTATCTTTTCTTTTCCGTAATCTATTTATTTTACGCTTCATGTGAATAATCTTACGATTTATCCACGGGTTTTGTTGTTTTGTTTTTTTAAAGCGAGTCGGAATAAATCTGTTTACACAATGATTTATAACTCCTTTAAAACGCTGCCACAGTTCCTCCACGGACTCACAATCGCAGGCAAGCTGGAACTGGCTAAATGAACATTCCAAAAAATCGATTACAGAAGTGTCATCCGCTTGAACATAATCTTTGATTGGAATAGGAACAAAGGGTCGCTTACGATTTCCTATACTATGCAATATGTCCATAGCAATCATCTTATGATCTGATATTCCTTCTTCAACGGAGAGTGTGTAATCGCCCACTCTCTGGGATATAAACAACAAGTCCAACAGTGACCGGGACTCAGGAGTTACTCTCGTTTTCTCGTTCACAATTTGCCTTAGATTGTGAGAAATCAATATTTCCAACAATATTTCAGCACTGGAAGTCTCCACGTGCCCAGGGGACAAAGCTTCCCAATCTATGTGAGGTAAATTAAAGTCACCGGTCAGTATTAATCTTGTAGTACTTTTCACATGAGCGCACAAGAACAAATTCAACTTATCCAAAAACTCTGGCTGAGTAACAGGTGGCCTGTACACTACACCAACAAGATACACATTGTTCGCAAAAGTAATTCTACACCACACAGTTTCGTTAAGATTGCAATGAACCAACACAGCCGAGACAGAGTTTTTAACAATAATAGCTACACCGCCACCACGAGAGTCTCTATCCCATCTGAACATTTGGTAACCAGGAGCAATAATGCAGTTATTAGGCACATCCTTGTTCAACCATGTCTCTGTTAATAACACAACGTGAGGACTTCTGATTATTAAGGACACTCTCAGGGGTAAAGTGCTTTGGATGCGCTCCGCTGCAGCGTCAACAATATTGCAGCTGCCTCGAGAGACACCCAATATGCGTTTGCAGCGAACACGCAGTCCTACCATCGGCGTTGCAAAAAAAAAAAAATCTATAGAAATACACACGTTCTACGCGAAGAAGTGCAAACATTTTCGCGTCTTCTTGCATATAATTTTATTTTATAAATAAATTAGGATCTCTTAGAGCTTGAATGCTCCTCGTATTTCGGTACCGAACGTTCAAGGGTTTTATGCAGCTGGCTGTAGGACCGTTCGTCGAATGACAATTCGTCGCACGTCAATTGGTAGCAGGGCTATTCGTTGCATAGGGTAATTAGTCATAGAGCAGTTCGTCATTATGGCAGTTTACGTCTGGCACGTGAAAAGCATGTGGTATATACAATATTTCAATATTCAACCGATCCTAATGCCACATTGAGAGAGCCCATTTACTGTAGGAAAGTCATTTGTTTTAAGAATGAACCAAAACTCTCCTACAGGAAGAAGCCGCGTGGTAAGATGTGACAGCAAGTATCACACACACAAAAAAAGACACAAGATGGACTTCACCTGTAAATTATTTCTTCCAGGAGAGTAGGGGAAGCGTATTTTCCCACCACAAGGCAATTCGACCGCTTGACTAATCAATAAAGTTTAGATATGTATACAGCACATTTCCTTTCACAGAATGCCTAAAACGTATGTTGTTTTTCCAGTTCTTTATTTCGTGCATAGAAAATGAGTAAAGATCATCGTACCTCACCGCGCACTTTTATGCCACCTGATACTTGGACCCTATATTACTGGGCAACCTGTACAATACCCACTAAGTGATTCGTTAGAAGCATCGCCTAAACTAAAACACGTAGCAAAATTCTGCAATAAATAAAGGTAACAACAACCTCAAGGGCTTTGCAGCTAGTCTAGATAATGATGTTGGCTTAATATAGCACGATGTGGGCTTCTCGAACACGCCTCCCGAAGCGTGCTTTTGAATCCAGTTTAGGCCGCGTGACACCCGTTCGCAATTAAAACATCGTAACGTCAGCCACGGGCAACATTACGCACCCGTCTCCCCGTCTCCATTAATCTAAACGTACATATCAATATCAGCACGAGGCCGAAATTAAGCTCCCTTAAGCAGCGTCACTATAGCGGAGGGCCAAAACGACCAGGCAAGCTATACGCACGCCCGACTCGTCCGGCCACTTTGCGAGAGCCCATTAATTTCATAGGCCGGACGGCGAACGCTTTATTAAAGGCCAAACAAGACGGCTGCCGTATTAGGCCTAGGCAATGAGCCCGCGCAGCTCTTTGAAAGCACTCTGCAGATAGGACAGAGGCGCCAGAGTAGGCGGGCTCGGCGCCCCGATGTTTTTCGGCCTTTTGATAGAGTTCCGGAAACAGTGTGGCCCGGGTCTCTGGACAGCCCGTGATAAATAGCGGGCAGTATGGAGCGGCGCTGGACGTTGTCATCGTGTGCCAAAGCTTTAATGCGACTCTGTCTTTTTCTTTTTTTGGGTGTCTGTGTAGTTTTAAGGGACTCGGCGATCAACTGGCATTTGTCGAACGATAAGTTTAAGAGTGAAGTTGCTTTTTAGCGATAATATGGATTCCACTGAATGTCCTGATTTAGCTTGGACAGGGTGCTGGTTTTCAGAAGTTGTGTTGAACGTCGACGACGGTACAATATCCGCAACTAATAGAGCCTACGAGTACGATTCGATAGTCTTGAGAGCTTAAGACGAAGCTGAGTGTGCCGTCGAGGTGAAGTGTGTGCACCCAACAGCCGTGAAATGTGGGTATATATAGTAGAGGTAGAAGGGGCAAGAGCACTTCTTTGGGAAAGAAAACATGGCAATTATTGGTGTGCAAATATTTCGTTCGTTTGAGATGTGTCAATAAATAATTCGGAGCCAAGGTAACAACATTGACTGTAAAAAAACGAAGCGTCTGTTTTATATCTTTAGTAATAAGGCCTCAATTCATTGTAATGTTAGTAGATGGAACATTTAACTTGGGCAACTTGGAGGTGTTCCGTTTTTGTTTCAGTCATAAATTCGTCCGTTAAGCTAGAGGCCGTGCTTCCGGAATTCTACATCCTACTTCAGTGTGTGTGTGTGTGGGGGGGAGGGGGTACTTAAAATTTTGTTCATCGTTTTCTTCTTTGAACGTGATCGAAGCGCATGTTGTCTGCCACCTTGGTCTTTTACGCTAAACGTTTATGGAGCATTAAAATAAAATATGATCAGTAAGCTAGACGCCGCCCAAATCGTCATTTGCATTTTAGCAGAGCCGTCCCCACACTTTGAACATCGGCGTCGCGGCCTTACGGAAAAACAGTGAACTTAGTTGAGACTGAATGTCATTAAGAACGTAGATGAAGGATCTGAATCGACCCTGTCCCCGCTTTGTTGCATTCTTAGTTTCCGATAACGGCGCCCGCGTTCAGCCGAGCGTTTCGTTCGTTGCTTCAAGCAGGCTTAGAGGGGGGCAGATGCTCTACGGCGAAGCACCATTTGTAGATGACTCTGCTCGGGAGAGACCGACTTCATTGCTAATACAGCGATCGTTAGTTGCGACGAATCGATGCACCTCGAGAGGCAGATTTGCGCCACACTTGGTAGGGGAGAGTGGGGAGGAATCGGACAGTTTTTACCCTCAAACGTCTTTTTTGTGTAGTTCAACGGGCCACATAGAGACAGCTTTAATGCTCCTAAATGTAGCGTGAAAGACCCTTCACATATAGCTAAATAGCAATTTGTCCTAGCTGTCATAAAAATGTAGAAACGAAAAAATACCAAGAACAAAAATATGTCCCAATGGGGGACACACGCGAGATTGCCGTAAAAATTGTACTAGTGAATATCATAGGCAGACAGGTCTTCATCAGACATGAAGCCCGATGGGAGCCGTCTTTTGTCCTCCGATTTTCCGTGGTTTTGGACCATGGATTAAAAGTATGGTAACATTTCACAGAAAGCAAATAATATATGGCCAAAATAAAATATGAACTAAAATGAGATCATTCATCATTATTACAGGTTATACTCAGTGTTGATCTACCAGTCAAAGCACCAATCTTAGGTAAATATGACTGCCCTATTCCTCCCCAACTGCTTTACACACGGTAAGTTGCCAATGGACCTTTTCCGAAAAGCGTTCTGCGCAGGCGCGAGCGCCCGATGCCAAGCGGTGGAAGCCGGCACGAAAAATCAAGGAAATTCGAAAGGACGCTATGGATCAGCGAGTAGACGACGTAATTGCAGCAGATATATAATTGTGTTACAAAAAAAAAAAAAAAGAATGGACGGAAAGAAAAACACGACGTTTGGTTGGACGCCGTGGATTCCCCTCTCTAAAGTCTCGTTGGGCACGCGACGCAGCTCGGAGAGTGAAGAAACGGGTAGCGCAGCTCCCATTAACGATTGGTAACGCAGGTAGGTCACTCCCTCGATTTTCGGTTGGTGCATCCACCGCCTGGTGCCGTCGGTATGTAGAAAAGGTCCATTGTGGCAACAATTAAGATGTTAGGCTTAACACAGCGATGGTTAAAAGCAACCTATTAACGCATATTTCTAATGTTAGTTTACTACAGCCGTTGGCCAAACCGTTTTGGTTCAAGAATCAAGCAAAACGAATGTGTGCTACTTATATCTGAGGGCCAAAGTGGCAACCAGTGACTCAAATCGTGTACACCACGCCAAGCAGCTGCGCCATTACAGTCGAAAGTCTTGCTACGGCGTCATCAATCTAGCAGCTCATCAACATTTTGGTACTATTCACTGAAGAAATATGTTGACTGTCCCACTTCTCGCACGGTCCCATTCCTCAACACTCTCCCCTACAAGGAGATACGACAGTAAGTGTCAGGCCCTAAACGTTGGCGTCGTGAACATAAACAGAGACCGCAAATCCTGTCTCTGAAATTAAAAAAAAAGAAGTAAAAGAAGTAATTTTTTGAGCGAAGGGTTTGGTTTGCCACTCGATTTTCGTATCGATTTAAGAGAGTGTTTCTTGGAGAATAAGGCGAAAATAGTTTAATCCAATATAACAACAAAAATAATATCGAGACTGAATGTTTTCCGAACATCCCACACATACAGTAAAAACAACATCAACGAAAAAGAACGAAATAAATCGATTACACGAAAAAAAAGTAAGAATTAGACGTAGTAGGATACATCACGGGGTAGCATTTAAAGTTTTAGACTATGCCAACACGCTCTCCTCAAAATGTAATAAATTACATGACTCACTACAAAATACCATTTTTCCCACCCGTAGTCATTGTTGCAGGGTAATACTTAGGATTCGAAGATGAGGAACGTTAATGAGGCGGTCACTTCAAGTCAACTACGAATATCGTAAACCAATTATGATTGTCACTTTCCAAAGAAAATAATAAAAGAAGCTACCCTTTGAATGCTTCTGGTCTGACAGGTTCGGCAACGCGTGTCATCCTGGGGCATTTCCTGTCTTTTACCTTCCGTGCATCGCAGTAGACCCAAAGGGCTATAACATACATCGCAGGAGCCGCCTTTACACCCTATATACGTGGCGTCGTGATCCTATCGGTTGGTGGCAGAAGCGTTGCCGAAGAAAATGAGCGGTTGTAGGCGTCACTGTCGTCCCGGTATCCCATTGCTGCCGAAGTTCCCGTTGACGGACCATTTTTTGGTATTTTTTTCTTTTTTGTCTTTATCCATTTGCATATAGGTTACGCATGTATGTTCACAGATCCCAGCACGAGTGCAGACTGGACCAAATTCAACAGACATCTATAGGTATGCGATAACGTTTTAAAATGAAAAATGCAAAAAAAAACAACAAAAAAACCTGAAAGTTCACGAACGCAATTTTATATTGACTAATTCAGTCTCAAAAATTGGCTTTAGTGTAAACCTATTCTTCTTGCCAATTGTATCGCGTGTAAGCCCGGTATAAGCCTGGGCGGTGGTTGCCAGGCAATACATCTTAACACCGTACTCTACGTTCTGTTTTAAGGCCAAAGCCTTATATGTCCCATTAGAGGAAAAGGCGGTGTCGGCGTTGTGCCCCAAAGATGGCCATGAATATAGGTCATCAACCACGCGCCGCTCAAGGTCAAAGCGGACGCGCCTCAAACACAAATAAAAGCAACAGAGTGTGTAGTTGGGCTAGTTGGTTGGTCATGCAGAAAATGTATTAAAACAGCGCAAAAATGTGAAGGAGCAGTGGAAGGAGAACACAGACACAGCGTTGATTTACAACTGAAAAATTTACTTGTGCAAGTAAACATAAAAGGAATTAATAGACATATATATATATATATATATATATATATATATATATATATATATATATATATAATCTGTGTCTATCGGTTCCTTTTATGGTTACTTGCACAAGTATATATATATATTCTGACCTGGATGGATGTTGTTCGTGCCGTGATTGATCTAAAATTCGAGTTTCAGAAATTATTACTGTGATTTTTGGTACTCACGTTTTGCTAGCTAGATATTTATAAGGCATTTGGGGGCTAACTGAACTTAATCTGCTGTATTTACCAAAATAAATCTTACAGCTTTTTGTTTTTGTTTTTGCACTATATAAAATATATGACAACAGCTTAACGTTCTTGCCTCTTCATTGCTTGAACTGAACTATTCCGGGGTCTGAATCAAGACAAGACGACCGGAATTAGACTCGTCAACCACGAGTGCGGGAAGATTATCCTTCTCACAAGACTGATAAGATCCAGCCTTAATACGTTCACAATATGAAAAGAATGCGGTTGAAGTTGTCGTAGCGTTAATTGTCCTCGAGTCCCTCTATTTTCGTGAATTCAAAAGGCGCTTTCAGAGCGCGCGTCCTCCGGTAGGAGAGCATTCTTGCGTCGTACAAAAGGCGCTATCGCAACAACCACGCGCCGCTCGACTGCGCCTCTGCCACAATGACTCCTCGGCCGAAGAGTCAGGCTTCTCCCCACAGTTTCGCCTCTGAGATACGTTTTGCGTCCTTTCTTTGCGGAGCCGAACTGTGTCCGTGCCGGGGTTGGCTGCATCCACTCGGACACACATCCACATACAAACACATACTCACAAAAGATGGAACAATGAGACAAACAAAAACAAATAAAAAAGAAAAAAAATATTGGCGCAGGACGTTATGCACCAATCCGAGCGTACTTTTCACTCAAGCTCGAGCTGTAATAGACGAACAAGGAACGACACGCGTGGCTGTCGAGAAAACGCGATGACAAATGTACAAAATGTTCGCGGGTCGAAATTGGAAGATGTGCGTCAGAAAGAAAATATTTCGTTCCACGCTTAGAAGTCAAGCCGTCGAGAAATATGATGATTTATGGGCAGAAAAGTCGTTCTTTTTTTTGCATGTAAACTTGTCTCGGAGTGCGTTTTGAACAATCGGGAAACAAAAGTTCTGGTAACATGTCCCGAGAACTTTTGTTCTAGGGATGAGCAGAAAAAAACGTTACCCCAATAAGACAAAAAAAAAAAAAAGATTTGTTTTTGGAAAATCAATTTGCAGGGAACAGTTTCTAGATGGATGGTCAGTATTTTTCTTATTATAGCCCGAGTCATTTATTAAAGCACGGAAGACAATTTAACGAACCCCCCTACCCTCTCCATGAAATGTCTTCATCCGTCCCTGCGTTTGAGCTTACTTCCAAGTGTGCGTAGGTGCAGGGAATGTCAGCACAACCTGTTCGGTTAGCATGACAACATAAGCATGCAAAGTAATACAAATAGCCAGTTACTCAGAGTTAAATCAACGTCTTCTCTTTCTTTCTTTGCATCAGCAGGACGCCTTTCTGCGTGCGCCAACTAAGCTATATGCACTACTTAGCCAATAGTTTTGCCGGCAGTTGTCACTTATTAAAGGCAAAATTGTTCTAGGATGTAAATGAAACCAACATACCCAACTACAAAGAACGCTAGTTTTCTGTATATTGTCTTACCGAATAATATTTATGTGAGATCATTTGTCTCGGCAACCTAGTTATGTAACTTGTATGGATAGATGTTGCTCAAACAATTTGACTCTCCAGTTTCGATCCGAAGCCCGCAAATGCTGCTCGACATTTCGACACTCGTGCTAACTTACTGCATGAATAATTCATTAGCGTTTGCTTCATTTTAAGCGTTTCTGATTGTCACATGTTCCTTTGACCATTATTTTGGCCAAGTAAGTACTTTCTACCGAGAGTTACAAGTATAAAAGCTGCACTCTAAGAAAAAAAATCGCCAGAGGCACTTAGGACTGCTTACGTGTGGGAATACGAAAGCATGACACACGCACTATAGGCACAGCTTCAGCCGGACCCGTGTAGCCACCGTGGCGCTAGGGAAGCGTGCTCGTCTCGCATTCCGGAAACCTCGGTCCGATTCCCACCCATTCCAAAATGTACGAAAGTTTCTTTTCAAAGCCATCCATTTACTTTTCTTTCAAGGAACATCCCAGATACATTTTTCGCAGCCAATGGTAACTTAGGTGCCGTTTTTCTGCTAGAGGCGGTTACAGGCAACAGTTGCAGAAAAAGGCGGACAGTTAATGCTCTCGCATTAAAAAAGAGGAAAAAAGGTAGGAACGGCACGTTTTCCTCCTTTCAACTGATGCGCCCCCAAGCGGACACGAGAAGAAGGGAGGAACAAGACGTTTCACACCTTCGCCAGGCATAGGGGAAGAAAGTTGCGCCCTCCCGCTTCATCTTCTTTCTGTTTCGTTCTTCTAGCACGTCGCGCACGTTGTTTAATAAACGTTGTTGAGTTAATTGGCTTCAGCGGCAGCGAAGTCCGCCCGTAATTACGTCTCGCAATCCAAAAATGCAGAACATCTCGGTTGCATTGACGTTTCTACCTCTAGTTTTGTCAAACGTGCAAACGGAGCCGCTAGAAACAGCGAAGTTTCGAAGCAGTGCCATTAACGCTACGTATACTGGGCTAAGATGGCCGTCTTGGCCGGCTTGGAATCGCGGAACGACGTACCGACGTTAATGACGTTAAGAAAACCGCGGAAACTGCGTCCAAGGCAGGCCGGTTTTGCTGTCGGGTTTCTGCATATTTTCCGTGCGGCGTTCGGTTCTGTTTCCTGGTGCCGAGTGTCATCCAACAATCAACCTGGTTA